GAAGCAGACCTGGCTTGCCCTTCCCCACTTCTTTTGGGAGGGTACAACAGCTGAGCTGTCTGGGTGTAGGAGGTTGCTATGCAAACTGCCCCCTCCTTTCTCACCCACTGCTTACTGAGATAGCATGAAAACACAGGCGGCTGACAACGCCTGGGGAGTGGGTGAGAACTATTCATAAGGCTCAAATGCCTCCCTGTCAGTTTTTGGGGGTGTTGCAAGTGCTGTGTACTTTCAGCATCTTGTTTGGAGGCTGAGGGAAGAAGGAGGCTCCATGTGAGATATCGCATCAGAAGCCTCGCGTCTTTTTGGACTTGCGTTCTTTTAGCCTGTTCATTTTTTAAAGCTGTCAGTGCTGGAGGATGGAGTGAACGTCAGTGTATGTTACGTACATGGCTTATTTATATAAATCTGGGGAACTGTGTTTTTACAATAAAAATTTAGGAAAATATCCTTTTTGTGTCTGTTCTAAAATGAAAATCCCAAAGTGGAGGATGAGGAGGAAAAGTAGTTCAGGAAACGTGGAAGTAAGCAAGCAAGCAATGGTGTAGCTCAGGCAGAGGACGGACTCCATCCTGTATGTTTCCTGGGTGACTCTTAGGTACCATCTCATCCTCCCTATTGGGTACCTTTCACCAATGCAAGCAGTGATGATGAGGAGGGCTGCCACGCTCACAGTGCTGCTGGCCAAAGTCCAGTCAGCTGTCTAAGCAGTAGGAGCAAGGCAGTATGCTGGTGTCCTCTGCCCAGTCAGTGGGCCTCTGCTCTGACCTTTGTGTTTGTGGCTTCCTTGATTTTCTGAGTTTTCCTCCCAGAATGTCACCAGCAGTACCGCTGGCACTTTGTGTTTTATGAGAGGCCACGCTTGAATCCATAGTTCAATTCCAAAGGATTTTTCTGCATTAGTGCCTTCAGTGGATCAGACTGGTGGAGGCTCTTGAAATCCCTTTTGCTCCTGTTCTGAACTTCAGTGTGATGCTAGAGATGTCCTTCCTCCATTTTGTCATGTCAGGAGCTCTTCTATAAGCCAGGAATCAGAGTAATTTGAAGACACCTAGAAATTATTTCAAATTTAGACCATCTGTGCTGGCTGGGCCCAACATCTCCTCACATAATTCCCTATGGATCAGGTGGAAGGGAATTGCAAGGTGGGGGGGGCACGTAACTGGTACCATGACACCAGCCACATGTGGTGGACCACAGTGGCAGGATGGCTGTGCAGTATAGAAGAGTCCAAATCCCTTGAGCTGTCTCTTGGTGTGGTGACTGCCTTGCTCCAGCTGTCTGCCTTTACATGAAGATAGCACTGTTGCCTGGCACTTTCTGCAGCTGGCACATGGAAAAGATTATTTTCTCTTCCACAGCTTTCTACCTCTTCTAGGTTCTGAGGGAAAGGTAAAGCCAGCATCTTTGCAATGCCTTGCATTGGAGCATGGTGATACTTTCAGCCATGCCACAGTCTCTTTAATCATGCCTCCTTCACACTAATGAATAATTAACTGCTGTGTGCAAATGCAGACACTCTGGTCATGAGCATCTCTGCAGGGTCATGGTGACCTGCAGGTGACCACAGGGAGCTGCTTACCTCAGCACACAATCTTTTGGCCTTGCTGCCAGTTTGTTATCTCTTTAGCCACCAGCTGACCAAAGCTAATGTCTCCATGACCTGCATCAATGGTAAACAAACGTTGACTGCTCCCCAGCCTTCTCCAAGCATGAGTGTGCAACCAGATTGAGGTGAGCTAGGTGTGAATTCTACAGGTGACTCCATCCCTGTCACTCTCCCAAGGTAAGTGCAAGGTGGCTCACAGGAGAGCAGCAGGCTATTTTGTTTCCAAGGGTAACAGCTTTCCCACAAGATGTTACCATGAAGCAGCCAACCCATCTTATCTGGTTTGCATGCCCTGTACACAAAAGCATGAACCTCAGCTTCCCAAAACAGCTCTGTGTCAAGGCCCCTGCTCTGAGGCAAGTGTTCAATAAGACAGATTGATTTTCCTGCCTGCTGCAAGTTGAGCCATGCTGTGCTTGCCCCTGTGTATTAACAGACTTTTGCATTCATTTGGCTGTGGAGCTGGCACACTTTTGGGCATGTCTGTATCCTAGACGCATAGAATGGTTTGGGTTGGAAGAGACCCTAAAGCTTATCCAGTTCCAAAACCCCTGCCATGGGTAGGGACACCTTTCACCAGACCAGGTTTCTCAAAGCTGGTTCATGGATCAGAGATTGTCTCCTGAGTTTTCCCGCAAGAGACACCCCTGCCACTGATGTTTTGGAGCCTCTAGGACCTACCTGCTTTTGACTATAGAGCTGCAGCCTCTTTTGCTGAAGAATTTTACCTTACAAATTTTCAGCAGAAAGTTGGGAAGTTGGCAACAGGTGCCTTGCTATTATGTTCTCATCTTCCTCTCATTTCCTGCCCCCTGTGTGTTGCTGCTCTTACCCATCAAAGCATCAGGCTGAGTCAGATGTAGAAAATGAGATGAAAAACGCACTGTGATGCATCAGTGCCAGCCGAAATGACCCTTTCTATCTGCCCATCCTGGAAAGCTGCGATAGCGGCTCAGGGGGCTGTGCTTCATGACTTCATCCTTCCCCACTGAGGGGAGATGGGAAACATCATTATCAGCTGCTGGGGTGTCCTGACTCGGTGCCAGTGGTGGAAATGTCCCTGGATATACAGCTCTTCCTCCACCCCAGGGGTGGCTTGAACCTGCTGAGAAGCAGGGAAGGTGCTGGGAAGATGGAAGGAGAGATGGCGGGGAGGGGAAGATGGGAAGAAAGAGGTGCGAATTCAACCAGTTCTCTGTCATGATGTCATGGCAACGAGGTACGTCCACACGCTGTCAGGCAATGGGGGCAGGCTTTGAAGCTTTCCAGCTCTTCTCTGTTGCTGCAGGCTCGTGTCTGACTCTCTGAAAAATCCTGTGGTTAATATTTAATGCCAGCATTGAAGCACTAAGGGTGACAAGTTCCCCCACCTACCCCCCTGCTTCCACTTTCTAATGGGATGCTAAAGCAAGGTGAGGGGTAGGATTGCAAACTTCCCTAGCCCAGGGATGGGACTCCTGGTCAGTAGGATGGCTTTGGCCCATAGGGTCTCTGTCCTCTTCTGGCTCCAGAATGTGGGAGGGAGGTCTCAGTTTGGAGCTGGTCTGGGGCACTGGAAAGGGGTGTGTGTGTCTCCCTCTTCCATCAGTCTCCCAGGGCTGGCTATGGAATAAAGAAATCCATGGCCCTGCTCTGGGAGCTGAGCCCAGCCCCTTTGATGCGAGGTATTAGCACATGGTTTTTGTTGGTGTTTTTTCTCTGCTAGGCAATGACCTAACGATCCCATGTTCCAGCTACAGCCCCTCCTAGGTGCCTTCTTTCCAAACCCTATGTCCGGGCTGGATCCAGCAAACCTTCTGGAGGAAGACACCATGTTCCCCTCCCTGGCTGGAGGGGGAAGCCATCTGCTCCCCTTCGCAGCTCCTTCTGCAGGGCTTCGAGCTCACCAGCCAGGCAGGAAAACTCTCCTCCTCCCGGATTGCTCCGGCTCCCATCGGCCATCTTGTCAGTGCAAGGCTCGGGAGGGGAACACGGAGCTGGCTGAATCTGGGGCGGCTGATGGTGTCAGCCACAGATGGTTTCCAGGCAACTGTCACGCTGTGGGACATGGAGAGCCAAGAACACTGGGAACACCGTGTTCCCTCCACACCGCCTGGGAGGGGAATGAGCCTGGCATGGATGGAGCCCGCATGGGATGGTGCAGAGAGGGCAGTGTGAGAGAAACGGTAGTGCAGGGATGGCACTGGAAAAGCTCCTCCCGTGTACAGCCTCCTGCCCGCTGCTCACCATACCCTCACTGGGTTGGAGCGAGGATGTCCAAGCTGGCTGCTGGTACATCACGCAGCAATGAAGGACCACTTGGTGCATGAGATTTCACCTGCCCTCTGCATCATCTGGGAAATCAGAAAGAGGAAATACATCGCTCCAGATTTCTAATTCCCCGGGCTTGTTGCGGGTATTCCCATGCTTCTCTGTCCCTTCATAAATCCAAAGCTCCCCCCCTACAAGTCACCAGCACTTTTTGCCCATGCAGACCAGCTCTGTGTCCCTGGATGTCACTGGAAAAGTGAATTCCTGATAAAAATGGGCTGCCTTCCCCCTCCACAAGCTTCCAGTCCTCCCCAGTGCTCAATGGGTCCTGCTGCCCTTCTGTGCCGATGCCTGAGAGAGCAAGCAGCATCCCCACTCCTGCCTGCCCATCTCCCCTACCTGCTTCAGAGGCCCTGCGAGCATCCCTGCCCACGAACCTTGCCTGCCTGGCAGCTCTTCCTTACATTGCCAAGCCCAGCTTTTCCCCTCCTGGCGATGCTGATGCTCACATCCTCTTCATTTTACCTAATCTGAGTGGTTTTGAAAGGGGGCTGAGATCAAATGGTTTTAATCACTTAGATATTTAAGCGTGATAAAGTTGCTCTGTCTGAGCAGCAAGAGCAAAACTCCCCTGGATTACAAGTGTGCGGATATGATGAACATGTGGAATGGGGCTGTGTAGTGTTGGGCAGGGTGGATGCTGCAGAGAGGCAGAACCACTTTGACGCCCTGTATACAAAGGAAGGTTCTGCAGCCCAGTGTGGGTGACAGCATGGAGGGATGGGATGGTGCGGGGGTTACCTGCAGCCATTGCTGTCCCCGAGCCAGCTTGGTGGCTATTGATTTGGAACTTGCCCTGTTCACACTGACCGTGGTGGTGCCAGCTTGCCCCTTATCAGCATTGATAAACCCCTCTCAACCTCCCGCCCCATCCCACTGCCATCCCAGCATTGTCACCCTATGAGGTGCCGTGGTGACAGATCATTCCTGAGACTCTTCTATTGCACTGGTGGGTCTTCTGCTGTGCTGCTTTAAATTCAGGACACCTTGCTCCTGTTTTTGCACAGAGGCTGCAGCCACAACAGTTCTCTTAGCCCCAGGTGGGTGCCCAGACCTTGCTGAGCATCTCAGGTGAGGAAAGATGCGACGCCGGCTGCAAACACTTTTTCAAAGGAAATGTAAAGTCAGCCTCCTCTTTCTCCTGTTCCTGGCCCTCCTGGTGCACTTGGTGATGGATTTGGCTCTCCCTGCAGCCTGCGGGCGCTGTGGCTGTGACATGAAAGCACTGAAAACCTTGGGTGTCCCATCAGGCAGCCCTGTGCTGGCCGGCCCCAAAAAGCTGAGCCTGAGAATCCTTCAGGATTTTAGCGGCAGCAACAGCTCCTTGGAGAAGAGCTCCCAGCTGCAGGGAAGGGCTGGAGAGCTGGGGCGACAGCGCCAGCATGGAGAGGGGAATACAGGGCAGACCGAGAGATCAAAGCTGGAGGCGCTCTTCGAGCATCCTCTTTACAACATCCCGGTCCCGGCGGTGACAGAGAAAGACAAGCTGTTTGTCGTCAACCCCATGGAGAAGTTCAGCCTGCGCAGCAGCGGGAGTGATGAATGGTGAGGAGTGAGCTCAGCCCTGGCTTGCTTTGGGGGGATAGGTGGGGTTGAGGGGACAAGTGTCAGGGACCAAACACACCGTTTCTCTGCATAGACCAGCATTTTAACCCCAGAGGGGCCCTGACTGCTGAGTGTACTCTTCTCATGCCTCAAGTCTTGTCTCAGCCCTGAGTTTCTGGGTTGCTACCCAGAAGCCTTTAGCACACAGCAAAGCCAAAGGAGGCTCTTGAATTATTCATAGTATTATGTAAGGTATCTTTCAGGTGATCTCCTCATCTCCTTTCCTTCCCCAGTGCAGACTGGCCTTTGCTCTCTCTCTTTACATATGAGGAACTCCCCAGTTCAGATTTCTAACCAGTTTTATCCCCTCTCCCAGCACGCTGGAGATGCAAAGCCTGCAATGTAGGTTACCTCCAACCGTGAGACTGTTCCTGTCCTGTATTCCACAGGGCATCGCCTGACCCCTTTAGGCTCAGGCGTATGGTGACTCACCGCTGCCGACTGCCTATTTTTATCACTGGACTACTAACCTCTAATTAGGAGGGAAGATATTAAAAGCTTTAGTGTTGATAACACATAGCAGCTTCCTTACAGAAAGCACACTTTCCAGTCGTAGTGGCTGCTAAAACTGGGAGAGAACATAGGCTGGTTTAAGAGCTGATTTCCACAGATGGGTATTTGCCTTGTCTCTGAGGGCCACCTCTCCTATGGATAACCATAGGAGATGGGTCTGGTTTTACAGAATTTGGGCACAGTCTGCATTTTCCTAGAGAGAGAGACATGGATTTGGGTTATAGATGCCCTTGGTCAGACTGTCCCATTGCAGTGCTGGTGTAGAGCAGGGGCAGATACCCCCAGGAGCCCTCCTTGAATGCCAGGAAACTGCAGCTTTGCTGGAGGCACAGAGATAGGGAAACCAGGGTGTGCAATAAACCCACCCAAGGGGAACTAGACACTGAGGGTGGGAGTTGAGGTCAGTGCTGGCGATGGCTGGGAAGCCCCTGCTCCTCAACCCCTGTTTTATGGATGCACGTGTGTCCCCAGTAAGCACATAGGGGTGTTGCTGGTTGCATGCCCGGCAGCTAGTCACTTGGGGAAAAACTACTAGATGAGCCGCCGCAGCAGGGAAATAAAGGCACAGATGAGAGGAGCAGGATTAGCCCAGGGGCTTTCTGCAGGGGATGTGAGGGAAGACACCAAGCCCCTCCAGCCATCCCAGCACATCTTGGCCACCCACATTGAGTGGGATCTGCCCAGGAGCCCCATGGAGGGCACATAGGGTGAGGTGTTTCACCAACATCCAGGGCCTTCCCCCTGCCTCACCCTCCATGCACCGGCTCCCAGGAAGGGCCTGGGGATGGGGGAATCTGTCCCATCCCAACTAAATGCTGTTGTTGTTGTTGGGGTGGTGGTGGCTGTCGGGCTGCAGGGTCAGCAGCAGTAAAGCCGAGACGCTCCTCCCGACAGGGAAGACGGCCTACGACACCTACCCTGCCTGGCTCAAATTCCATGTTGGCATCAACCGCTATGAGCTGTACCCCCGCCGGGACCCCCTGATGCCCACCCTCCTCCAGGACTTGGCTACACAGAGGATTGTCAGCTCGGGTACCACTTCCCTGCCTGCACCCCTGCCCACACCCCTGCCCACTGCCTGCTGCCCTCCTCCCTCATCCCTGTGTGCTCCCTTTCAGTCCAGAAGTCTGGTGGGACCCAGCTCAAGCTCATCATGACGTTCCCAAATTATGGGCAGGCCCTCTTCAAGCCCATGAAGTGAGTAGAGCCAGGGACAACCCCATACCCCCCCTGCACGGTCCCATTAGGTGGTGAGGAGCGGCCGGAGGAGAGAACGGAGGGAGAAAGGGAGAAACGTTTCGTGTTTCGCCTCGCTTCAGACCCCACCCCCCCACCACCCCCCATCCCCCGAAATTGAGGCGAGCGGGATGGTCCCCTGCCCCTCGCCTTCCCTGCTGCTGCTTGCGGCAGCCTGCGCGCAGCTTGTGATGGGGTAGTGACCTCCAGTGGTGGAAAGGAGAAGATGGTCCATGAGGACCACCCCGGACCCTCCAGTCCTTGAGGGCTTCCCAGCTCTTAGATTGCGAGCAGGGGGTGCATGGGGGGTTTGGGGCTGCACCACCCCGCAGGGAGCAACTGGAGGAGACTGGGTCTGGCTGTGTCTCCAGTGGCACCAGGGACACAGGGTGATGGCTGGTTTGGAGCCAAGGCCATGCTTGGGGAGAGCCTGCCCAATGGCTGTCACCCCCACCCTCCCTTCTCCTCCCAGGCAAACCCGGGACCAGGAGACCCCCATCGACTTCTTCTACTTCTCGGACTTTGAGCGGCACAATGCAGAGATTGCAGCCTTCCACCTGGACAGGTGAGTGCAAGCTTTGCATCCAACTCTGCTCTCCCATGACAGCAAAGCAGCACAGAAACTGCTCCTTCATTCCACCTCTTCCTCCCTGTGCGAGGGATGATGGGTTTAATAACTCACTGTGAAACCAGCTGGGGATCAGCAAGGAATGGTCCCAAGTTCTGTGTTTCAGGATCCTGGATTTCCGGCGAATCCCCCCAGTTTCTGGCCGTCTGGTCAATATAACGAAGGAGATTCGTGACATTACCACGGACAAGAAACTGGCCAAGACTTTCTTCATCTCTCCGGGTGAGTTTTTATACTGTCCCTCCTCTCCTGCTCCTCACGGAGCAAACCTGGAGCCAGCTGCTCCTGCCCAGGCTCCTGTGCACTGGGGCAAACAGTCCCTTTGGGGACTGCTGCAGTTCCTGCTGGTTCCCCTGCCATGGGGTAGTGCTCCTCAAGGCCTTCCCTGCCATTCCTTTGCTGGTGGCACATGCCCGTGGTGCATGGAGCATCCTCACCTGGCTGTCGGCTGGACCACCATACATGGGGGTAGCAGGCTCACTGCCTTCCTGCTCTTTGTCAACTTTTGCTTTGTCCCCTTGGCCAGCGGGCAACATCTGCTTCTACGGGGAGTGCTCCTACTACTGCTCCACCGAGCATGCCCTCTGTGGCAAGCCGGACCGGCTGGAGGGCTCCATGGCCACCCTGCTGCCCGACAAGACCCTGGCCAAGCGCCGCTCCTGGCGCAGCCCCTGGCGCCGCTCCTACCACAAGAGCAAGAAAGCTGAGTGAGCTGGGTCACAGGGAGGGATGGGGACATGGAATCATAGAACCACAGAATGGTTTGGGTTGGAAGGAACCTTAAAGCTCATTCAGTTCCAACCCCCTGCCATGGGCAAGGACACCTTCCACTAGAGCAGGTTGCACCAAGCCACATCCAACCTGGCCTTGAGCACTGCCAGGGATGGGGCAGCCACAGCTTCTCTGGGCAACCTGTGCTAGGGCCTCACCACCCTCATAGTGAAGAAGGGAGCAGCAGAACAGTGGGACAGGAGGGGGCTGCCCCATGACTGCTGTCATAGCCCTGTCCCACACTCGGCCTCTGCCCACAGGTGGGAGCTGAACCCCAACTACTGTGCTCAGGTGCGGGAGACACCACCCTATGACAGGGGCCATCGCCTCCTCGACCTCATCGACATGACGGTTCTTGATTTCCTTATGGGTGAGCCCTGCCGTGCTGGCGCTGAGATCTGGGAGGCCCAAAGAGCTTCATGTCCCACAGTACCATGCCCTGTGAGGTTTGCTGGCCAACCCATTGCTCAGGCTGCAGAGAGCTGGGCTCTTACCCAAACCGGGAGCAAAGGCTGTGCCATTAGGACACATGCCAGGCAGAAACCGAAGGACAAGCTGAACACCCTGGGCACAGGAAGCACCTCCGAGCAAGCTCCCATGTGCGGCCCCTGGGGAGCTGGGATGCGGTGATGCTCCCCAGGGCTTGCACTGCCTATCCTGTTCCTAGGGATGGTCCTTCCTCCCCATGCTGTCCCCCAACATCATCTGACTTGGAGAGCTTCCCATCTTCTCATCTCTGGCTCCCTCCATGGGGCTGCTGGGATGAGAAGGGGGTGGGGCTTTGCTTGGGTCCCCCCACTCCATGGCCATGACCACCACCAGACAGGCCCCTTAGAGGTGCCCCCAGCCTTTTTGCCCAGCCTCTGCGTTTTGGTCTCACACCAGGAGGGGTGCATATCCCTGCTCCCACATTCCGGCCCACCACCCTCTGGCCCATTTTTTGCCCCACTGCAGGCAATATGGATCGGCACCACTACGAGACCTTCGAGAAATTTGGGAATGACACTTTCCTACTCCACCTGGACAACGGCCGTGGGTAAAGCCGGGGAGGGGGAAGCAAGCCTAGCAAAGGGGTGGTGGGAAACAGTGGGTTGTGCCAAAATGCTCCCCACACTGGGCTCTGAGTTGTGGGACGATGCTGCCCTGATGCCCACTGATGGGATTTCCTTCAGCTTTGGCACTCACTCCCGTGACGAACTGTCCATCCTGGCCCCGCTCCGGCAATGCTGCAGGTAAGGGACTCCCACAGTGCGCCCCAGAGCTGCTGTCGGGAAGGGATTCCCTGGATTGAGACCCTTCTCCCTCCTCATCTTCGACAGCATCAAGAAATCGACCTACCTGCGGCTGCAGCTGCTGGCCACCCCGTCCTACCGCCTGAGCGACCTGCTGCGGGAGGCGATGGCCACCGACCCCCTGGCCCCCGTCCTGGCCGAGCCCCACTTGCACGCACTGGACCGGCGCCTGGGGAAGGTGCTGGCAGCAGTAGGACACTGCCTGGCCAGGGCAGCCCACCCGGAGAAGGTGCTGGTGGATGATGTGGGGTCACAGGTGTGACGGGGGGGTCATACCCCACAGGGTTGGGGTGTTTTGGTGAGGGTGATATGGAGAGCAGTGTGCATAGCCCTGGCTTTTGGCAGAGCTGGAGCCGGCAGTGTGATGCACAGGGAAAGGGGGTGTAGGGATAGCTGGGACAGGGAGGGTATTTAAATAAAAGGTTGGCTTAGCGGAGAAGATGAGCTGAGATCTCCCCGACCAGGGCTGCTTTCCCAGCCCTGGCCTGTCCTTGCTTGCCTGGACATGTCTCCTCAGCCCTCCAAAGCCTTTTAGGAAAAGGTTGGAATATTTTCTGTCTTTCTTTCCTGCCTTTTCCCAGAAAAAGCTGCCAAGTTCAAGCAGTTGGCAAGCTCCTTCTGCCTCCCCCACGACCCCTTCCAGCACAGCGATGCCCTGGTGAGCCCCAGAACGTAATCTAAGGCTCTCCACTGAGGCATGAGCACCCAGCCACTCACTGCTTACCTCTGTGCCGTTCTTCCCATACCCATTCAAAAAAACCCACACCTCCAGCATCACCACCTTTGCTGCAGCACTGGGGGTGCAACAAGGGGGAGAAAAGCCCCATTCCTCTCCCCCCCCCCCCCCCCCCCCGCATTCCCTCAAATCCTCCAGGAACTGCTACCAGCTCCCTCCCCAGTTGAAACTGGCTCTCAGGAGGGGACGGATTGACCTGGGGCCATGCACCCTATTTAGTGCCTCGCGGCTCGGCACCCAGCTTATCCCCTGAGCTTCCCGCGGGGGTTAATCCACAGCAGGGTTACGTCAGCTGGGGCAGGTGCCATCGCTCACAGCCACCACCAGTGTCCCCAGGTAAAGGTGCCAACAGGGAGATGTCCTCTGGCCTGGCTGGTCACCCGTGCAGTGATGGAAAACCGCAGGAAAGGGTGGGAAAGGGTGGCTGGTGCAGCAGGAGGCAGACTGCCTTGGAAAAGCCAGGCGGAGATTTAGGCTGCAACAAAAAATGGGCTTGAAAGGGAGAAAAAAAGGGAAAGAAAAGGGAGACAAAGAAGGTCTGTCTGTGTTACACAACGGGGCCGGGGACTGTGAATTGGGGTTTGTTGCAGTCTGCACCCCCTGCCCCCCGCCCCCCCCCGACACTGGCAGCAGGTCCCCAGCCTGTGCACCAGGAGGAAAAGGTTGTGAGGTTTCAGGGCTGTTTCACAACAGGGCCGGTTTCACATTTTTAACCCTTTCTATAAACGCCCTTTTGCCGCCTTACCGGAAGCCAACGGGGCCGTTCCCACGCTGTGGCCCCCCCCCAACCGTGTCCAGCCACAGGCAGCCGGCTCCCGCCCTCGCCGAGCTCCCACAGGGAGCTGTCGGATTTAGAACGCGGAGCGTAGGAGGCGGCTGCTGTCTCAGCCCGGCGCGTTGGCACAAGGTCCCGGCTGTGCCGCTCCGCGCTCAAGGTCCCACGGGAGCAGCCGGGTTTGGCTCCCGCCCCGCTGCCCATGGGGGAGAGAGATGGTAACGGGGTGTCTGAAGCCATGGGGCTGGGGAGCAGCAGAACCTGCCCACCCGGTCGAGGCGGCGTGGGCACAGGGGTGTTGAGTGGGGCTGCCTGTGCCGTAGGGATGGGTTTGGCTGTGCCGTCGGGGTGGTGTGTGGGGTTGCTGGGTGTTTGCCACCTCACCGGGGCTGGCAAACAGTCTGCCCCAGCAAAACCCAAACAGGGCTGGGGAGCAAGTAGGAGCCCCCATTTTGGGTCGCCATCACCCATGGTTTGTACTCAAGGGCTTGCCCTTGCCTGGTAGCAAGGGTTGCCTGCAGCCCTCGGTGGGCATAGTGGGTGTGGGCTGGAAGTCCCCCAGGTCTAAGGTGTTTGGTGACCTGTGGGCAGCCAGGGGGTAGGGATAGGCCTTCCTCATCACCCCCCAAATGATAAGCACAGAATCTAAGACTGGTTTGGGTTGGAAGGGACCTTAAAGCTCATCTGGTTCCAACCCCCTGCCACGGGCAGGGACACCTTCCACTAGACCAGGTTGCTCCAAGCCCCGTCCAACCTGGCCTTGAACACTGCCAGGGATGGGGCAGCCACAGCTTCTCTGGGCAACCTGTGCCAGGGCCTCACCACCCTCACAGGGAAAAATTTCTTCCTTATATCTAACCTATATATCGCCCCTGTCAGGTTAAAGCCATTCCCATCACAACAATAAAGCTATGCTAATACAGCGATTGCGACAACAACAGCGATAACGATAACAACGGCGGTAACAATAAGGGCTCTATCGAGGAGGGGCGGGGGGGGGGGGTGGTCGGCGGCGGCGGGCGCGCGCGCATTGGATAGGGGCGGGGCGGCGGCGGGGGGGGGGGGAACAATGGGGTAGGGCGGAGAACCGGGGCGGGGGAGGGGCTCTGGGCTGCTTTCGACTGACAAAGCAAAAGGGAGCGGAGCGGTAGCAGCGGGGAGTGCGGTCTTGGGCTGCGGGGACACCGGGTGCGAGGACACCGGGTGAGGGGACATGCGCCGGGGCCGAGATGGGATGAGGGTGATGCAGAAGGTCTGGGGGTGCCCGCTTGGGTGGCCCGTGGGAGGGGTGGAGAAGGGAAGGGAGTTTGTGTGTGTATATATATAAATATATATATAAATGTATATCTTTATATATTTTTTATATATATATTAAATATGTATGTATATTCCTCTGTAACCTTGTAAGGCGGCCGCGGTGGCGGTGGAGCGGGCGGGCGGGCGGGCGGCTCCATCCCGGCCCCGGCAGTGGCGGCCCGCGGCAGCAGGTGGCCCTCGGCTGGCTTTCAGCACCCACAGCACCGCCCCGGGCACCCCCCGCGAGTGGGCTCCTTCCTCCCGGTGCGTCCCTTCCTGCTGATGCTTCCTTGTCTCCCCTCCCCTCCCCAGGTGAACCGTGAACCCCCCCGTCCCGAGCCGCCGCCATGTCCCGCCGCAGCCAGCGCCTCATCACCACCCGCTATTACCCCGGGGATGACGATGCCACGACCAGCAGCAGCAGCAGCTCCCTGTTGGGAGGGCAGGAACTCCCCTTCAAGGAGGGTACTGGCAGGTTAGAGGGGTACGGGGGGTCCCATCTCCCAAACGCGGTCAGGGCCCTCCATCCCACAGCATAGACCGGGCACCTTCCCTGGCAGCTTGCAGAAGGGAGCATGACGGCGAGCTCGCTGCGTTCCGGCATGGCCGCTGGCTGCCTGGGACTGGCTGTGCCCTTCGGCTGCTCCCAATCGCGGCACCTCTGCATTTCCCCCGGCCCCGCTGCAGTGGGCGGCTGGGGGGGTTTGGTGCTGCCTGCAGCCCGATGGCGGGAGGGAGGTGTGCTGCCGGTACCGGGCCGGAAAACCGCAGCGGTGCGAGCGGAAGCGGTGCCCGCGGATGAGCGGCAGCGCCTCTCGCAAAGCGGCGGTTGCACCCTCCAAAACCTGCCCCCATCCGGTGCAGGGCAGAGGGAAGCGATGCCGGCCAAGGGCGTGGGGTGAAGTCCCCGTTTCTGCCCCGTGGGTGCACTGTGACATCCCCCTCCCGTATCCGTGCATGGCTGATGAGACCGTTCTCGCCCACGGCAGGACGGTCAGGAGGAAATCGAGCAGCACCAAGCGCCTCTCTCCTGCCCCCAGCACCCAAACCTCCTACTACAGTGAGTCCCTGGTGAGCGAGTCCTACCTGGGGGGCAGCCGGGGCCTCGCTGCCCTGGGCACCTCCGTGCTGGACGATGCCCTAGACAGCAGTGCATATTGGGGTGAGCTCTCCCTTATGTTTCTCCCTCCCGCGGTAGCTGGGGATGTCCTTTGTGCACCAGCGGGGTGTTGGGGCAGCCCCACCAGGCTGGCTGCCCCCTTTGGGGATGGGGATCGTGGGTGGTTTCTGAGGAGGACTCTGTGTTTTGGGGGAAGGTGGTGAGTTCTCTACCAGGAGGAGAAGAGGCACTGGGGACGCAGAGTCCAGCAAGATCAATGGGCTGCTGGAGAGCAAGATGTACGACACCTATGCCTCTTCGTCTGGGTACTCCTCGGAAGATGACTATGCCGGTAGGGATGCTCCGGCCTCTCTGCGGTGCCAGGGATGCTGGGGGAAATGTCCCCAAGGGGACCAGCCCAGCCCAGCACCTGCCTGTGCTCAGGACGCTGTCAGCCCCACCTGCATGCCACCCCCTGTGTAAAGCCTTCACCCTGGGTGAAAGACAGGGGTGCAGGCGCTGTTTAGTGACTTACTGCCTTGTTTCTTCCTTCCCAGGTCACTTCTACTCAGGCCAGAGTAGCCCTGGGTCGGGGCTGAGATCTGCAGCCTCCCGGGTGGGCTCCTTTCTCTGGCTGGTGTTCACTGCACCACGTGAGTGGAGAGGTGTTTGCAGCAGCACCTTTTCCTCCCTGCTGGAGTCTCCGCTCCGCATGTGCAGTTCCGTTATTGGGTGGAGGGGGTTTACCTCCCTGCGGAGCATCCTGGGGGACTGAGGGCACATTTTTGCCAGGATGCTGGCTGAGGCTTGGTTTGTCTCCCTGCAGTTCGGTTCCTGGGGTGGCTGTTCTCGGGGCTGGCAGCTGCCTGGCACCGCCTCACCGGCATGGCTCCATACCCAGACAGTGTCCCCTTCTCCAGGTGAGCGTGGTGGTGGGACACCAGGATGGGGGAGATATGGGGAAAACCCAGAGGACCCCAGGGAAGGGGTGCCCCATAGACCAAACAACATGTGGGGTGGATGTCTTGTGCCAAAGCCTGGGTAGGCTTTGCTTTCCCTCTCGCCCCCATGCAGAGAAATGTGGTGGGAGAAGGTGGCTGCAGTCCTACAGGCACCTCTTTCTTCTCTGTGCTCCAGGCGCTACCCGTGGCTGAAGAGGTCTCTGCTTCTGCTGCTGCTCCTCCTGCTCCTCGCTGCTGCTGCCTACGGTGAGTTGGCCTGGTTCACTTGACTGCCCTGAGATCAGGGGCAGTGCAGAGCATATCACTGGGGCATAGGATGGTCCTGAGCTCAGTGCTCCTGGTACCCTGGTGCATCTGTTGATGGCTGAGCTTCTGCACATCCACCCTGTCCCCTGTCATTTTAACCATCTCATCCCCCTGCA